ACTCCAGCCCACTATTCATTTTTTTTACAAAAAGCCCAATGTAGCAACCCAAACTACAAAGGATAGAAAATTTTCGCTTTACCAGTCTAACGCTCGAGCATCACCGCATTCGGTGTAATCTTCTTCATTGAGGATTTGCCGAACCCCAAGTCACGGCCACCGACAACAGGTAATTAACAGACCTCATAAAACTTATGTAAAATTCAAAACAATAAATTCATCCTCCAAAAAAATTGTACATGTATAAATCTAACATTTTTCATAGCAAAAAAAAATCAGAAATCTATAGTGTATAATATAGATATTCATTTGCTTGGGCAAGCGACTCTAATTAAAAGTTCTTTGTGGTGCAGTTGTGAAGGGTTGTCTCCATTATTGAAATGTGAAATATGATACAGAGCATATTGAAATGTGAAATATGATAAAATGAGGAAAATAAATGTGTAAGTGAAAATCCATATGACATATAAGATGGATAAATGTTTAAAAAAATTGAAAGATATTTTGATATACATTTTTGTTATATTAATATCTCTACCATCTTTATCACATGTAACAACTTTTAAATCAACATATAATTGACCAATCACTATTACGCAAATATTGTTCTTGATTTTTGTTTATCGTCATTCCATATGAAACTGTTAGACATAACGGTCATCTTTGAAACTCGATATCAATACTTTTTCTCCCATACTTATTCCTTTCAAAAGAATTCTTTCAATACATTATTTTAACAAAAAATAGTAACATCTCTGTGATACATTTAATCCATTCACTTAGTATAAATAACTTAAGAAGACGTTTACCTTGCTGCTAAAGTCATAGTTAAGTTAGTAAGACATGTGAAGTAAACACGCAAGCTGCTTAAAAGTTGCTTACTAACCGAAAGAGGTGTTTAAAGTGCCGCTTACTAAGCATACCACCCCCATGTATTAAATTAAGCGGCACTTTAAGATTTTTTAGTTTCCGAATTTACCCTTACCCTTACTCCTTGCCCTTACCCTATTGTTACCCTCTACCCCACCCCGTTCCTACCCTTAACTCTACCTTATCCCGCCCCACTCCGACCCCGACCCCACTTCCCTACCCTATCCTACCCCCATCCCTTACCACCCCACCCTAACCCCGTACCAAACCCCTTACCACCCCTACCCCCACTTGTACTCCTTACCTCGACTCCACCTCAACCCCCCAGTACCCTTCCGCGTAACCCCTGCCCCTACCCCTTACCCTGACCCCCTACTCGTGGCTTGTAGCCTACCACAACCTACCCGAGGGTCGTGGCATGGGTAGGGTCATGGTAGGGGTAGAGGTAGGTCCCACATATTATATGCATATATACTTGTGCACATGTATATATGCATATTTTACACGCCGCTTACTAATGCAAGCCTTAATAAGCACTGCTTAGTAACCTGTGAATTATATTTGAGTGCATTGTTCATATATTTACATTTGAGTGGACCAAAATAAAATCTATTGTGGTTTTAAACAATAAAGTAAAATAATCTTTCCAAAAACTGCTCTTTATGTTCTATAATAACAGTCTCGTATTCTTTTTTGAGATGTTTTTTGTTGCTTGTCTCTTTTTTCCATTTTGGTAATATTTTTCTATCAAAATACCTTTATACCCTCACTTTTATTACTCTCATCGTTTTACAAACTACTTTGTCTTTCATACGTTTTCACCACTTTTCTCTTCTCAATATTCTCTTTTTCACTTTTTCATTTATCAATTATCATACACCCTATATATTGTCCTGTATAGGACTAAAACTAAACTTAAATGCACAAATAGGACTAAGTATGTTTTCCCCCCCAAATAGAACTGATTTAATCCAATTAAAAGAATACTTTGATTAAAATTTCCCAAAATAGGAGTGAATGAGTCATATTTTGGGAATAAAATATTGATAGTCCTATTTAAGAAATTTGTCATTATTTTAGTCCTACTTAGGGTAATTTTCTCATATATTATCCCTACGATTTTTTTCTCAACAATCATGAAAAATCTAAGAGGACAGTTATTAGAGAACAGACGGAGTATAATCTAAAATAATATGCTTATAGAAAGTATTAATCCAAGCAAATAAATAAACTTTAGAGAAATAGACCACTTGGACTCTATTGTATATACTGCTTGTGTGCTTGTACACAAATATAAACTCCAGCCCACTCTTCATTTTTTTTTTACAGAAAGCCCGATGTAGCCACCCAAACTACAAAGGATAGAAAATTTTCGCTTTACCAGTCTAACGCTCGAGCATCACCGCATTCGGTGTAATCTTCTTCATTGAGGATTTGCCGAACCCCAAGTCACAGCCACCGACAACAGGTAATTCACAGACCTCATAAAACTTATGTAAAACTTATGATGAGATCAATAAATACAACTCATTGGAGAACACCGAAACTCTATTCAGATAAGTATTCTTCATCTTATAATTTCAATTTTTGATATAAAATTGAATTTTTTTATATCCTTTTTATTTCAACAAATTCTTCATATTTCGTTTATCTTTTCACAGTAAATTACTTTCAAATAGCAGTAATCAAGATCCATCAATTGTGTGCTTCTTATGCTTGTGAAGATTTTTTTCATTATAATTATGGTGTTTCTTATGCTTCTTATCCTATTTTTTTTATAGGAACCACCCCGAAAGGTGTTTCCAATAAGAATACTAAGAGTCACTTAGTAGATTGTGAAGGCTTCAATATCTTCGAAATGTGTTGCCGCTTCAATTGTATTGATGTATTTTCATTGGGAATGTTTTCTAATTGTATTTATTGAGCCGGATTAACGTAAAACTAAAAGTGATATATTGGCTCTTCGGAAACCACAATGGTGGCTGTAAAGAGGACTTTACAGCTTTCCCGTTCAACATGATTGTGATTTATTGCCTTTGTTAGAAATGTAATAGGGAGTATAACAACTTATTATTAAAGTAAAATAGAATCATGCTTTGGCAATTTCAACTAAAGTCACCCTCCTTCTCATATTCTTGTGTCTTTTCAAATAACGTGTACGGAGTATAATGTTTTGTCTTTTAATGTTTCATTAAATGTTTTGTCTTTCTATTCTTCTATAACAACGAAGCCGCCAATATTAATGGTCACCACCCGCCAACTTTTCTCCATTACACTTAGCTACGGTGTTCCCGCCCAAAATCCCCCACACTTTTCTGATTTACTATATATATAGATATAGATTAGCTCCAAATGTCATATACAAATCAAATATCTTTTTGCAGCTGACTCGATAGGAAAGTTGGATGATGCTTTCCAGAGAGCAAATTCTTACTTCGAGTGAATATTGTGCTTTTTATGATTCCATAGCGTGTGCCGATTTTGGACGAGTTTTGTTTGCCAATTTTGGTTTGGCAGATTTTATAACTAAAAAATATAAACCGTAAACCGAATAACATATGATTAGTCACTTCCCGTCGGTTTCGGATTTATGAATTCGTTTTGGTCGGTTTCAGCTTTATCGATTCGTTTTGGTCGATCTCGATTTTGGTCTGTTCGATTTTAAATCTGTTCGATTTTTATTTTAAATCTTTTAATAATAAGGTGTTTGAGCTTGATTAAGGTGCGATGCACGGGACATAGAATAAGTAATAGCTATATAATAGAGAGTATTATATTATTTGTTAACATTACAAGTATTATTTAATGTGTAAATGAATGTAAGTAGTACAGATGTGACACAGAAAATTTTAATTACGCAAAAGATACGAATCATAATTGGTACGAAAAATATGTTGGAATAAGAAGAATTGATGAATATTAAAAAAAGGTTTTCGCAGTCTACACATTTCGAAACATTTTCTTGTAAATAACATTGGTAGCATGATTGATTTGTTCGCCATCTTTAGCGCAAATCAATATATTCAAACCGCTTGAGAAATGAGACAATTGGACTAAATGTAAAGGTAACACTTGTTGAAGATAAAATGCGGGGACCTCAATTATTTCTCAATTGCTTTGTTTTATTCAAACTGAAGTTGGTAAAAAAGTAGGCAAAAAGATGACTTTTACTCGTGTGAGGTAACCTTATTTTTAATGAATCACTCATAGTAGACTTATTTTTATCAAAATAATTAAAACGTAGAAGACACTTTCCTAACAAAAAAAACATTTGTCCTCATTCAATTTGAAAATTATTCACATACACTATAAGGTGAATTTAACTCTAATTTAATATGCAAGTTTATTCAATAAGTACTTTTAATCTATTTTAAATGATTTTTTGTGATTTAGCAACTTGTAACACAGTTTCTTTATTATAGACTCTTATACGATTTTTACTAATTCACCTATTAAGAGTCTTGCTTTACTATTATACCCATATGTGAACATATCAAATTTTACCAGTTACGTCGTAGATTTTTCAGTCTAATTAAAACTATTTTAAATATAAATGATTTACAACAATACAACATATCAAATTGGCTGAATTGGCTTATTCTGCTGAAATTTATGAAATTCTGGCTGAAGTGGCCGTATTGGCTGATTCTGTTGATTCATGAAAAAATTATATTAGGAGTATTAATCAAGAGATGACTGAAATATTAGGAGTATTAATCAAAAGAGTTTCATAAAAAAATTTATGAAACTCTTTTTTGTTTTCTTTACTTGTATTAAATACTAGTTCCGTAGTATAGAACTCTAAATTTCATGAACATGGTTTGTCAAATAATTTGTGATTTGGACTTTAAAATTTACCTTAGCACATTGGATTTTTAAGACTTTAGACTTAGACCTTTTAATATACGGAGTAATATAATCTCATTCGTTCTAAATAAAGTTCTCATTTCCTTTTTAAGAAGGTTCAGAACAAATTAAAGTTTCCACTTACATTTTGACAAAATAACCTTAAATAATACTAACTATCAATTATAAACCAATAATACATACTTTGAGGAGGAAATTACCAAAATACGGGCTTTTCCCGTCTGACAAGGCAAAATACGGGAGTTCCCTTTAAGTTACCAGAATACGGGAGTCGGATTTGGCAAATCCGACTAGGGAAGGAATGACAATAATTATAAAGTGGTCTAAACACTTTATTACTAATACTGCAGATAAGAGTAATAGAGTAAGGGAAGGAATGACAATAATTTTTTTCCCATTCTCCTCAATTCAACGTGATCCTTTTATTTATACGCTAAATGTGACTCTTTGAAAAGAGACAATTTTTCATTTCAAAACCAACTTTTGAGTTTTGATCGCCACAATGTCATTCACTCGAGCATTTTTTTTCGCACACCATTTTTGCACAATTATTGAAATCAAGACCTTTGAACTGCTCTGGCCATTTTTCAAGCAGTTTGGATTTTCCTCAATTTCACACAAGCCAGATTTCAGGAAACAAATATAAACAAAAACAAATTTTTATCATCCCTTCACGGGTAAGCTCCTCCTCCCCTATTCAGATCCGCTTTTTCACTGGTAAGCTCCCCCTCCCCTATTATCACTTCACTTCACTTCACTTCACTTCACTGGTAAGCTGTGGCCTTTCAGACCCGCTTCTTCCCTCCCCGGATCCAAAACAAGGTAAATTACTCAGAGTGGGTGGCGCCCGGAGGGAGGGGTCGCTGCTGGGACGGAGTGCAGAAAGCAATAAGCTGAGGTCCTCGCTGCTCGGACGGAGTGGGGAGGAGGCCGCCGAGATGGTTGCTGAGCAAAAATATGATTTGGAGGGCAAGGAAAGACGAAGATCGAGGGACAGGTGCAGGGCCGGCCGGTGCTGAGCTTGTTGTCGCAGGTGACTGTCCGCCTGGACACATACGTAACGGAAGCTTTACAGCTTATTTTTTTCCCACACCGAAACGGAGAACTTAAAGTCTCGCCTGGCATGCTTATAAATGTAAGTGTACAGTTGCTCCCAAATGCACCCAAACTTTGGGACTCGGGGCTTCTCAGTCCTGTCCCGCTGGGTTGGGCTGGCAACCCCTTTGGGGCCGGCCCTTAGGTTAGGGCGCCGCTTAGGGCGCCGTTAGGTTTAGGTTTTAGGTAGGTAGGTTTAGGGCGCTGCTTAGGGCGCCGTTAGGCTTAGGTTAGGGCGTCGCTTATGGCGCCGTGAGGCTTAGGTTTTAGGTAGGTAGGTTTAGGGCGCTGCTTAGGGCTCCGTTAGGCTTAGGTTAGGGCGTCGCTTATGGCGCCGTTAGGCTTAGGCTTAGGCTAGGCTCAGAAGAATTAATGATGGATGAACTCATGAAAGTTAAACCGTGGGCAAGTCGTGGTTTGACTTATCAGTTAATTATCAGGGTTAAGGTTTTGTGGGGTTTTTCTAGATTGACCGGCCTGAAAGGGAAAAAGAATTAATGAAGGATGAACTCATGAAAGTTAAATTTTAAGGAACGGGAAAGAAAGAAAGGGAAAAGGAACGGGAAAGAAAGAAAGGGAAAAGGAACAAAGAAAGAAAGAAGGGAAATGGAACGGGGAAGGGAAAGAAAGGGAAAAGGAACAGGGAAGGGAAAGAAAGGGAACGGGGAAGGAAAGAGGGAAAGGGAAATGGAAAAGGAACGGGGAAGGAAAGAAAGGGAAAGGAATATTAACAAGTAATTAATAAGCAAGTATAATAATAAAAATAATAATATACTAGGATAAGTTGTACTACGTACTTCTCATCAGACTAAGTGGTAAGGGTCTGTTTGGAATCTGAAATACTACAGGGGGAAGGAGGTAAAACACAGATTAATATATCTAAAATGAAAGAAAAATTAGGGGAGAATAAAAGATATATATTGTATTTAAATTAGTCGATAATCTATTACATAAAGAATAAGAAATCTAAATGCTTGTCATTTGTCAAAAAATCGTTAGAAAAAGGTATTCATATTTCATTTTCCTTCACATTCTTTTCTTTTCCTAGCATTGCTTGTGGTCCCATGTATTTCCATATAACTTTTGGCTCTGCTGTCATGAATGGCTTTGTTTAAATTTGGACAATGTAAATATATGTACACAGTAATACTGAACTTTGTTTCTTTTAGACTTTCTGCTTAGCTAGAAAGAGATGCAAGTGCTTTCAAGTATTAATTTATTTGTTTGGCTTTCTTAGTCTCTATGCACGGGGTGTTAAAAATAGACAAGTGAAATGAGATTGAACTAATGTATAAATAAGTTTACTGAGTTTCAATCAATGTTATCCCCCCATCACACTTTCTTTTGTTTCAATCTTTTCTATAGCCCTTCCTATCTCTTTCCCATAGTATTACGATTGTTTTTCGACAGTTTCCAAACCGCGCCTTAAGAAACTCTAATGGAGCCTTTATAACGCCTTTTTTCTCATTTAAAAAGTGATGTTTCTGCATTTCCCATTTCACACTTCCTCGCCACCTAGCAGTGTACATTAACAGAACTTGAATGAAAAGTTACACTCATAGCATTTGAGTACACTGTGTACGTGTAACCAAATAAATGGTCGTTATGCTGTAACGGATTTTTTGGTGGTTTACCATGACCTACCCTTTCAGGATGATCCAAATACAAATGCTGGGTGAGGTTCAAATTTGACTGAGGGTAATGTGGAATGTGATGCAAGCATAATGGATGGTGATTCTGGAGCATTTGGTGCTGTAGGGGCAGTGCCAGGTACACCAATATTCAACTTTAATTGGTCATTTTTTATTTGAAAAGCAATTATGATGTAAGTTATGGTCTTCAGAGCATTTGTTTTTACTTGTAACAGTCATTACACCTTTTTGTGAAGTTAATTATTGGCAGGTGTTAGAAATGCCATCCAGATTGCTGCATTATTTATTAGCCAAGGACCAGCTTTCCGGTTCAACACTGCTGGGTCGGATATCCCCCATGTATGGTTTACTCTTTCTTTGAACCTTAGTTGTATTCTTCTTAAAATGAATCTAGCTCTTGTTTTGTTGGGTTGAATATTCCATCAGCTCTTTATTGGATTTGAGTCTAATTTCTAAGTATGATGTAAAACTTACCTCTTGAAGATTCTTTTGAGGTGAATTAGACCCTATGTAGTGTGTTATTATAACCCGATTTGATGGTTACATGTGGAGTGTTTCCACTTTATGGTTTGAGAATTGGGATTCAATTTGGCTCATTTATTCACCCTTAACTTCTCCTCCTTGGCTTGGGTTGGAGGGTGTTTTGAGTATCTCAAATGGGTTGTCTAATGAGTCATGCATAAATGTGAAATAGATTAAATCTCACCTCTTAGAATTAGGATGACTTAGCTAAAGATAACATATTGTGTGTGTCTGTGTGTCCGGAATGAGCTTACCAACACTTCTGTAGGTTTTTGGTTGGTGAAGGTGCACGAGCATGGGCAAAATCTAAAGGTGTTGTTCTACCAGGAACAATAAAAGAAGCTGACAAGGTTCTCTTCCTTCTTCCATTCATATCTGTGTGACTTTATGGTAACTTGGTTGTTTCCAAACATAGACTCATGGACCATGACTTCTTCTCTTCCAAATATTTGTCACTTAAGGCTCTGTTTATTTCCAGGAAATTTTTTTGTCCTGCAATCTGTTTTGCGTGGAAATTAAGTTGCTCTATTTAAAATATAATGTTTGACCCAAAAAATTGTTTGAGGAAAGTTACTTCCCCTGTTCAAAACAGGAAAACAGTTTGCACAAAGTATCAAAAGATCAGGGGGGGGGGTTTATGTTGCTAAACACTGAAATTATTTTTTGGAAAGAAAGGGCGCGCTATAATCCAGAAAATGTTTTCTTGGATAGTATTATCATGTGCCAAACATAGGAAATCAGGAAACATATTCTAGGAAAATATTTTCCCATAAGAAAAGGGAACCCCTGAGTAAATTTTGTTTCTTAATATATGTCCTTTTTGTTGATTGGTTGGAATTAAACCTTTCACTTTCATTGGAGAAAAGTGTCTTTACTTTCAATTCTCTTTGGTAGTGGCATACTTGTTACGGCGTCGTCTAGGCGTTGTCTAGTCAACGACTAGGCGTCCTGGCGCTCTGGAGTGTTCGCCGGGTTCCCTCTCCTCGCCAGAAGAAGAGAAGGCGATCATGGCGTCGTCCAGGCGTGCTTTGGCGATAAGGCGCTGTTTTGGCCAGTCTAACCGCAATCGCCGATTTAAGGCTTTAGGGTTTTAATTAGAGACAAAGCATAGTAATTTTAGAAGACCGTGAAGACGCAGAGTCTCGAGACCCAGACTCTTACGAAGAAGTCAAAAGCATAGAACTCCCAAAGTTGCACTACCTTGTGTAGACGAACAGTACGTTACCAGGTCCCCATCTATGATTGTCTAGCCGATATGTTCGTATATATGCAGAGTATATACATACTAGTACATACACATAAAGTTACTCCATTTCATAGTTCGCATGTGTTACGATGGTTTGATAATAAATGAGAAAAAGATGGAAGAGGAAGATGGAAGACAAAGAGGGAGAAGAAGGAAGGGGATTACTCCATTAAAAACCATTGCTTGTATGCAATTTGAGTTTGTGTGGGCCAGATCCTGGGGTGAAGGGAGCAGGGGGGCAGTCCACGGGGAAATGGGGGCAGTTCCTGGGGAGAGTGGAGGGGAGAGCAGGCCCTGGGGAAAGTGGGGCAAACCAGTGGATAGTGGAGACTGGAGGGCATCCCGTGGGCGGGGTGGGGGGCATGCCTAGTTTCTGATGCAGCTGCTACACTCGGAACATGGCTAAGAATGGAAGGACTAAAAATAAAAGAAAAGATCTTGTTAGGAGAAGATATAAAGCAGAAGAAGAAAATTAGAGATAAAGGTATCAATTTTTTAAATGAAAAGATAGAATTAGAGCAAGAACAAATAGACAATACCGAAAAATATAGAAAATAAGAAAGAATGAAAAATTGAATTAAACAAGAGGATGAAGACAGAAAGAAGAAACGTGCGCCATTCAAAAATAAGTTGAGAAGCATTTCCCAGCACAGGCGTGACAAGCGTGCGCCTCAGCTCTTCTTGCGCCTGAGGCATATCACTGCGCCTGGAAATTATAAGGTGCTACCCATGTTTAGCGCCATTCACATAATAGGTCAAAACAACTTAAACCCATGTTAAACCCTTCTAAGTCACGGTAAAAGCCTTCTATCGTGCGTTTTCATCATTACTCTCCTATGCTCTACTCGCACAACCTGTTCAGCGCTCCAACCGCATCCAACAAATCAACAATCAACCCACTGAAGCTAGCAACCCTTAAGGTTTCTTCTTCCTCATCATCTTCCCATGTTCTTTCTTCTTTCTTTTTCAGATTGTAGTTTTCATTTATTTTGTCATCTTCTTGTTGATCCTTTCTTTCTATTCTTTCAGTCTATCTTCTCTCTTTACTTTTACCACTTGCAGTCATCTATGCGTACTTTATAGTTCTCTTTGCATACTTTATGGTTCTCTTTGCTTCATCTTATATTATACAGTCTATAACTCTATATCTTCTTATCATCATTTCATATTTTAATTGTATAAAACTTCGTATAATCTAACTCGGTTAATAGTTTCACACACTACAATTTATGCTACCCGTAGTCCTCATACTGCAAAATCAGCCAAAACAGACCCTGCTCGGTGTTTTGTTTATGTGAACCATCAACCATGACTTTTTTCTGTGGATTGTGACTTTGTTATTGAGAAACATGATTTTTTAATGCATTTAGTTCGATATGATGTTGAATATGTCATATTTGATCACTCTAGAATAGTATACATAATATTTTCTAAATAGTGGACTTGACATGAGTCAGGCAAGTGTTTTTTTGCGCCTTGCGCCTCAAAAATTAGGTAAATATTATATGTTATTATCAAGTACATTTGTTACAATATTGTATTATAATGTTATATTTTATTATGAAATGATACATTCTTATATTTTATTTTCTGTTATTATACAACAACATCCAAGCCTTATTCCCAAAAGATTTTGGGTATTTTCCGTTATTATAGTATAAATAAAAATTAAATTTGGCAAAACTAAGTATATACACCTTGCAGGTCTGATTGGATGATATGCCATGAATGACAGGCTGTTTAGGGTTCTACCTCCCGAAGCATTCTCTTATCAGTGTGGTTTAGACACGAGAAAAAGGTAAGCACTAAGCATAAACACTGCCATCATTGTGAGGTTACGCTTGTATTGTTTTTAGTATTGGCTATTGATTGAGATCATTGATTCATCTTTTGGATCAAGTAAGAGATGTGCTTGCAAGAACTGGTCCAATTTTGGCAGGTCCAGGGGAAAGTGAGGCCACCAGTGGATGGTGGAGGGCATTCCCTGGGTGGGGGGTAGGAGGACGTGCCCATCTTCTAATGTAGCCGCAGGCCCGCAGCACTCGGATCTTGCCTAGGAACGGAAGGACCAATGATGACACTCACTCCGCCATCTAAGGGTCAGATTCCCTTTAAGACATGTCCATCTGTAATGTTTGGTTATGATAAGCTTAGAAGGAAGTTGAGAGGGGAGGGATTAGGAAAAAGGGGGAGCAAGGAAAAGGAGCAAAAAGGGGAAGAAGAAGGGGGAGAGGGGAAGAAAGGAAATATGAGTAGATAAGGGAAGAAGAAGGGGGCAGGGACGACTAGGCGTCCTGGCGCTCTGGAGTGGTCGCCGGGTTCCCTCTCCTCGCCAGAAGAAGAGAAGGCGATCATGACGTCGTCCAGGCGCGCTTTGGCGATAAGGCGCTGTTTTGGCCAGTCTAACCGCAATCGCCGATTTAAGGCTTTAGGGTTTTATTTAGAAACAAAGTATAGTAATTTTAGAAGACCGTCAAGACGCAGAGTCTAGAGACCCAGACTCGTACGAAGAAGAAAAAGCGTAGAACTCCTAAAGTTGCACTCCCTTGCGTAGACGAACAGTACGTTACTAGGTCCCCATCTATTATTGTCTAGCTGATATATTTGTATATGTGCAGAGTATATACATACTAGTACATACACATAAAGTTAGAGGCTGAGAGCATAGGCTGCTGGGTACTATTATTGTATGTTACTTGTAGAAATTAATAAACTATTAGACTTTATGTAATTTAACTTTTTGTAAAGTACATTCATACTTATTATACAATTATTATGCAATATAGCATCAGTAATATACAATTTAATTAGTAATATACTCCCTCCGGTCCCAAAAGAACTTCCCATAGTTTGACTTTACGGTTTAAAAAGTGGATTTTTTTTTTTGACTTTCTAATTATGCCGCCCCAAAAGTAGATAAAATATAGTGGGAGAGAGAAAGTTGGTGTAAAGTAGGTTATAAAGTAAGGGTATAAGGGTAACTTTATATTAAAATGTTGCCAAAAATAGAAGTGTGAAGTTTATTTTGGACCTACCCAAAAAGGAAAGTGTGAAGTTGTTTTGAAACCGGAGGGAGTATCATATATAACACATAGTGTATAATAAATTACGAATTAAATATAGTTCAATAAAATCTTATATATCTTATATAAATATATCATAATTATATATATAATTGTGTATATAATTATAAATATATAGTTATACCAGTCGCCTAATTGTCGTCTAGGCGGGCGCCTTGTCGCCGAGGCAATATGGCAGGTAGCAAGGGTGCGATGGGAAAGGAATAGAGTTGGGGGAAAAGGAAGAAAGGAAAAAGGAACTGGAAAAGGAAGGAAGGGAAAAGGAACGGGGGGAAGGAAAGAAAGAAAAGAAGAACAGATGAATACATAAATAAGTGAGTATAAAGAAACCTTATTTTTGGCAAAACTAAGCATATACACCCTTGCAGGTCTTATGATACTCAGCAAAAGGAAATCCTGGCAGATAGATGGCCATGAAGGAGCGATGTGCCCTGGAGAATTACTAAAGCTTTTCTGTGAATGGTATTCTACCATTCTTCCTTGCATAAATTAATGATCAGTTTTCTATTTTTTGCTGAACTTTACTTTTTCATAGGTTGTCTGTATCATCTACCTTGTCTATTCACGGTGTTGCCAAACCTCCCCGTGGGGGGGGGGGGGGGGGGAGAGGCAACGGCGCGGGGGGAAAGGAGGAGAGTGGGAGGGGAAAGAAATGGGGAAGGACAAGGAACGGGGAAGTAAGTAAGGGAAAAGGAACTGGAAAGGAAAGTAGGAAAATGAGTACTGCAGCAGTTGACATGCTTAGTTTTATCCATAAGGTTTCCTTTTATTTGCCTCATTATTCACGGTGTTCTCTCAACTTAAGTATCCATAGCAATTCATGTTCTTGATCAATACCTTTTACCTAACACGGTAAGGTTTGATTTGAAGTCCACATTAAACATCTGAAATAAGTTTTGCAGCAGTTGACATGCTTAGTTTTATCCATAAGGTTTACTTTTATTTGCCTCATTATTGTCAGTCAGAATTCGACCCTTAATGACACCAATGTAATTGATTGTACAGCAGAACCCTCTAAATAGGAGTGGGATGTCTCCTGTTGTATTGTAGTGCTCGGGAGTATGGGAATATAATACATTAGTACCAAAATAGTAGTGGAATATCTGCTGTTGTTGTGTTGTGGAATAGTAGTTTACCTCAAAATTTGAAACTCAAGTTTTTATATTTTTTGACAAATAAGTATCACATTACTTGGATCAAGGCTTTTCTGATTTGTTACTTTGAAAGAAATAAGTGTTCCGTGGTCTCTTTTTGCTGGTAAAAACAACGGTTCGAATTCCCGCTTTCTTTTTAGAACAGTCCATTGGTATCACATTACTTGGATCAAGGCTTTTCTGATTTGTTACTTTGAAAGAAACAAGTGTTCCGTGGTCTCTTTTTGCTGGTAACAACGGTTCGAATTCCCGCTTTCTTTTTAGAACAGTCCATCGGTGTCAGATGTTCCATACACGATAATATCCCAGGCTTAGTCCCAAAACAACTTGGGATCAGCTTACCTGAATCGACAAACTCTTTTGGGACTAAGAATGGAATGGACGGTGATGAGAACATCCAGAGATAACAAGAAATAGTAAAATACCCTGCCTTTTCCACAAGCGGAAAGGCAATGCCCTTGCCCTTTGGTAATGAGAAAATACTTATTTATCCAGTAGGGTGGGAGACTGGAAGGACAGAGTAGAGTTTCATCCCTGATTTTTGTGTGTCCCTAGTACTGTAGCTATTGTGGAGGTTAAGGTAATCTTGTGGCCTCCTTTCTTTTGTTCTCCAAATTTCCCCTGAATCATGTGTCATATTTGCTGAAGGCTATTCAATGTTGAGGCTGGATCTTGTTCACAAATCTGTTTGGTACTGAGTTCATTTTTAAAACTGAGATAGGTTGTGCTTTAATCAGAATTGGTTAGTTGGCTTTTCTCATATCAATTACTCCCCTCGTTTTCCTTTAAGGGTTCAGCTTTCTATTCAGAAGTTGTAGTGTATTTCTTCCATTTCCCGCTTTTGGAGAATAAAGGTTTTGTGAATACCATAAGTGCCCCTAACTTTTTCATGCCCTCTCCTACTATTTTTACTTTTTCATGTTTTCTTCTCCTACTTTTTTTTGTCTCTTTATATACTATGCACGTACTCTTAAAATCTCTAAAAGCCTAGCAGAACAATTAAATGAAAATGGAGGGAGTGTTCAATTTTATTACTTGATCTCTTTTGGAGATTATACCCTGCTGCTAGTCACTTGTATAACAAGAGGATGCTCAAGTGGGAATATAATAACTAGCGTTGAGTTCCATTTTTTTGTATTTGTACACTATTAGCTACCCTGTATGAAGGTGAGGACTATTATGTAGGTGTTGCATTCTAATGGCGACTTGGTATTTGCGTATTTTGAATAGTTCAATGAAATATGGAGCAAATTTTCGGGTAGAAATTTATGGACTACCTGCAAATGAGATCAAGTTGTGAGTGACTATGATTTTGATGTCATTGCATGGCCTTAAAGAGTACAATGACACTACTAACAGGAACTTTTGATGATGAACTTGAATAATTTATCGTTTGCTGCAAATGAAATATCTATGTTTTAGTGGGCATATTCACGTGTTGTCTGTAGTGTGCAATGCAACTGAAATGTCTATGTTTTAGGGGCATAATACTGTAGTGTGCTTTAATTGCTTGTAAGAGTGCTGCATGTTCTGAAGTAACTCCAAGGTCTAGTTGCTTTAGATATATAGATATAATATAACTATGTGCGATATTAAGGAAGTGTTTGCTATTTATTGTGCTCCTAAAAAAGTTATTTTTCTTAGTGAAAAGTTATTATAGAGAAACCGCTTGATAAAAGCCGGCAGTGTTTTAAATTGGAAGTGATTTTTTATTAAAAGTAAAAGTTCGGTAGAAAAGTGATTTGTAATGTAATATTCAGTGGAAGTACCAAAATGTATAATTTTTCCGCATGCTCTGTTTTGTCTTGTCATGTAGGAGTAGGATAATTGTTGCATATATGTTTAGGGCTAAAAGATTGAGTTAGCTACAGAAAAACCGAAAAGCATTTACAAGAAAGTTAAGCGCAAGCACGTGTTTGAAAACCTTATGTTTAACGTTTTTGAAGCAAGAAGCTGAAAAGTGATTTTTTGAACCATCACAAGCACTGCCTGGTTCTCTAGCTCTATTTTCCTTTTTGCGTATTTTCAATTTTATTTGCTCTTGTGCTTCTTCTTAAGGATATGTGACTATTGTTAGCTCACAAATTTCAATCTGATTTTGTTTCCATGTGTGGAAATTTGAGCGCGTTTTCTTGTTACAGGCGGTTAAATTAAAAGGAAGGAGAAGCACCTCCCGGACTCCCTTTGAGAGGTGCTGGTCAGGATTCTGACGCACAGCCAAAGGTGAAGACTTGCCTGTGTGTGTTTTCAGAAGGTCATTTAAAGTCATTGGAGTATAGTAGATAATTAGTTGAAAAACAGGTTTCTAATGGCGATCTTCCTAATCCGTGTGGTGCACTATTTGATTAACTCTGGGAGGTAACGAAGCAGAGAATACGGAAAGCATCCATATGTGGGGAACTGCCTGGGCTGGGACTTGTGGTCTGTAAGTTCTTCTTCTTTGAGGTCATATGTTTTCTGGACATTTGGGTGCTTTATGTGTCTCTTCTCATTCAGGTATTGTTGTTGAGGTAAATTAGCATCTCACTCATGCAATAGGCACTTATAAGAAAGCAAGAAGAAAAAAGGGGTGAACAAGAAAAGGTAAGCAAAAGTAAACCTATATATTATTATATTATATGTTATTATACTCCGTATTATAATTAATATTAATACAGTTATGATCTTTATGAACCGATCCGGCTGATAAAAGGAATTGCTTAGGTTATCGTTTGAATTTTCTGAAACAAAAAAGTGTCTGGCAAAGCAACACCTTTGGGAAGCCAACAGACCCCAATTTGTATGCAACTATCACCTCAAAGAATTCATTTTTTGTTTGAATTAAATTTTTTATCCAAATATAAAATTACATGGATGGCCTTGCTAAGAGGAACAACTTTTGCTTTAAGGAGTCACTCAGCTGAAATCCATACGGCTGCATTAATGAAGAAAATTTTAGTTTCACCGCTATTTCATGGCATGTATTTTTTTATTTTGATTAATAGTCTGAAATTAGGTAATGCAAAACATACCAAATGATTTGTTGAAGTGTTTCATAGCTGCCTTTCCAGCATTCTTAAGAAACAATCATTACAATCTTTTTTTAGAAGTGGAGAAGTGAATGGGTATCCGAAGGGGGGTGGGTGAGAGGGGGTTAGAAAGGGAGAAGAGAAAGAAGGGTGGTTGCTCAAGGATTTGACGTGCTTTGATTGCAGACAGTTGAAGGTAAGACAAGTGGCAACAACTTATATTCCATGGTCACCGAATTGTAGATGGACTAGATGCCATAACCTGTATAAGTAGAAAATGGGAGCAGAGGGGTTGAACAAGGAAGAGAGGAAGAAGACGGAACCAGAAGAAGATGAAGGGTAAGGAGATATCGAAATGTAAAAGAAAAATCAACTCGGTTTAACTATTAATGATTTTTTTGACAGAAAATTACAGTAAACTTAGCTTGCTGACAGTTAGACAAGATTTATTTGCATTGCCCCACTATGTTGAGTTTGAGTATCTTTTCTGCATCATGGTTTTGAATTTCAGGGTTGCTCTCTCTATGTATTGCATTTGATCATACCTTGGTTCTCTGGATTACTCCATTTCATAGTTCACATGTGTTACGATGGTTTGATAATAAATGAGAAAAAGATGGAAGAGGAAGATGGAAGACAAAGAGGGAGAAGAGGGAAGGGGATTACTCCATTAAAAACCATTGCTTGTATGCAATTTGAGTTTGTGTGGGCCAGATCCTGGGGTGAAGGGAGCAGGGGGGCAGTCCACGGGGAAATGGGGGCAGTTCCTGGGGAAAGTGGAGGGGAGAGCAGGCCCTGGGGAAAGTGCGGCAAACCAGTGGATAGTGGAGGGCATCCCATGGGCGGGGCGGGGGGCATGCCTAGTTTCTGATGCAGCTGCAACACTCGGAACATGGCTAAGAATGGAAGGACTAAAAATAAAAGAAAAGAACTTGTTAGGAGAAGATATAAAGCAGAAGAAGAAAATAAGAGATAAAGGTATCAATTTTTTTAATGAAAAGATAGAATTAGAGCAAGAACAAACAGACAACACCGAAAAATATAGAAAATTAGAAAGAATGAAAAATTGAATTAAACAAGAGGATGAAGACAGAAAGAAGAAACGTGCGCCATTCAAAAATAAGTTGAGAAGCATTTCCCAGCACAGGCGTGACAAGCGTGCGTCTCAGCTCTTCTTGCGCTTGAGGAATTATAAGGTGCTACGCATGTTTAGCGCCATTCAAATAATAGGTCAAAACAACTTAAACCCATGTTAAACCCTTCTAAGTCACGGTAAAAGCCTTCTATCGCGCGTCTTCATCATTACTCTCCTATGCTCTACTCGTGCAACCTGTTCAGCGCTGCAACCACATCCAACGAATCAACGATCAACCCATTGAAGCTAGCAACTCTTAAGGTTTCTTCTTCCTCATCATCTTCCCATGTTCTTTCTTCTTTCTTTTTCAGATTGTAGTCAACTCTTAAGGTTTCTTCTTCCTCATCATCTTCCCATGTTCTTTCTTCTTTCTTTTTCAGATTGTAGTTTTCATTTATTTTACCATCTTCTTGTTGATCCTTTCTTTTTATTCTTTCAGTCTATCTTCTCTCTTTACTTTTACCACTTGCAGTCATCTATGCGTACTTTATAGTTCTCTTTAAACACTTTATGGTTCTCTTTGCTTCATCTTATTATACAGTCTATAACTTTATATCTTCTTATCATCATTTCATTTTTTAATTGTATAAAACTTCATGTAATCTAACTCGGTTAATAGTTTAACACACTACAATTTATGCTACCCGTAGTCCTCATTTTGCAAAATCAGCCAAAACAGACCCTGCTCGGTGTTTTGTTTATGTGAACCATCCAACCATGACTTTTTTCTGTGGATTGTTACTTTGTTATTGAGAAACATGACTTTTTAATGCATTTAGTTCGATATGATGTTGAATATGTCATTTTTGATCACTCTAGAATAGTATACATAATATTTTCTAAATAGTGAGCTTGACATGAGTTAGACAAGTGTTTTTTTGCGCCTTGGGCCTCAAAAGTACTCTAGCGCGTTTTTGACTACCTCGGGGCGGACAGAGTATGGGAAAAGGGCGAAGCAAGAAAAAAGGAGTAGAAAGGGGAAGAAGAAGGGAGGAAAGGGAGTATGGGAAAGGGGAAGAAAGGAAAAATGAGTAGACAGGGGAAGACAAAGGGGGGAAAAGGAAGAAAGCTTATTAAGTAATTATATTATTAGGTAATATTATATGTTATTATTAAGTACATTTGTTACAATATTGTATTATAATGTTATATTTTATTAAAAAATGATACATTCTTATATTTTATTTTTCGTTGTTATACAACAACATCCAAGCCTTATTCCCAAAAGATTTTGGTGTACTTTCCGTTATTATAGTATAAATAAATATTATATTTGGCAAAACTAAGTATATACACCTTGCAGGTCTGATTGGATGATATGTCATGAATGACAGGCTGTTTAGGGTTCTACCTCCGAAGCATTCCCTTATCAGTGTGGTTTAGACACGAGAAAAAGGTAAGCATAAACACTGCCATCATTGTGAGGTTACGCTTGTATTGTTTTTAGTATTGGCTATTGATTGAGATCATGTCTTAGGTATTGATTCATCTTTTGGATCAAGTAAGAGATGTGCTTGCAAGAACTGGTCCAATTTTGTTAGGCCCAGGGGAAAGTGGGGCCACCAGTGGATGGTGTAGGGCATTCCCTGGGTGGGGGGTAGGAGGACATGCCCATCTTCGAATGTAGCCGCAGGCCCGCAGCACTCAATCTTGCCTAGGAACGGAAGGACCAATGATGACAATCACTCCGCCATCTAAGGGTCGATTCCCTTTAAGACATGTCCATCTGTAATGTTTGGTTATGATATGCTTAGAAGGAAGTTGAAAGGGGAGGGATTAGGAGAAAGGGGGGAGCAAGGAAAAAGGAGCAGAAAGGGGAAGAAGAAGTGGGGAGAGGTGAAGAAAGGAAATATGAGTAGATAAGGGAAGAAGAAGGGGGCAGGGAAGATAGATCAAATTAAAGTTATAGTGAAGGAAGCAGATATGAGGATTATACATATATACTTTTAAAATCTAGTAGATATCAATAAATTTTGTTGATCTTTGTGCACCGGCCCAGTTGATCTCCGATCGCTGAATAAAAGGAAATAGCAGCTTCTTCATTGGGTAGTTATCTATAATATAGAGCCTGTTTGCTTAGGGTTATCCTCTGAATTTTCTGTAAGAAAAAAGTGTCTGGCAAAACAACACCTTCGAGAAACAAACAGAGCCTAATTTTTATCCATGTTTCACCACACAGAATTCATTATCTGCTTGAATTCAATTTTTCATCCAAATCTAGAATTACATGTGATGGATAGTCTACCCGGGGTATATATCCGAAGGGTTACTACGGGGAGTAACTTAGAGAGAAGTCAGAGCAAGTAAGTAAGAGAGAGAGTGTATATTCGGTATGTATTAAGCGTTTTCAGCGTGGTTACAAATGGGGAAATGTGGTGCTATTTATAGTAGCAATAAATGCCGGGCAGGGACACGTGTCAAGCGCTCATTGGCCGAGGGGTCACCTCAACTGGTTGGCGCTGGCAGCCGCATGTGGCCGCATTTAATGCGGCTGTTGGATGGGACGTCTGTGCAGAGTACGGTGATCTGTACGCATGTGAGGCGGATATCTTGTCGAGCGAGATGCCTTCGGCTATAGAGCAGTAGCCGAGGGCTCTTCCTCCCGATGGCACCCCTGGTGCCGAGGGCTCACAGTGCCGAGGGCTACTGTTTTAGTCGTTTTCTCCCGATTTCTTAGTTTGCTTGAGAAAACCCGTTCTGTGAGAATTTGGAGCCTTCGGCCAGGGGGCCGAAGGCACCCCTGCGCGTTGTGCAGACTGCTTGGTACTCCGGGCGCTGTGAATTGGGCCTTCTGGGCCTGTTGGGCCTTTGCTGGAGTAGTGGGAGTCTGTGGGTCGGGGGTTCCCCGGGCCATATACTCCATCAGGAGTCCCTCACTCCTTTTGCCGAAAGGTACTTGAGGGAAAAGGAGTAATTTGTGCTCGCCCCTTGATGTTATCCCGTTGTGATCTCTGAAGTTGGTGAGGAGTTGTTGCTTTTATGTCCCTGGCGAAGGCAGTCCCTCAGTTACCCACATGTCGGGACTTGAGGGCTTGCTTTGTTGTTTGTTGGAATTTCACAGATTTTGTAATTTAATGATTTTCCTGAAGGGGTCCTCCAGTCCCCCACTCCTTGAGGCACTTGTAAAGTGGTGAAAAGGAGTGAAGTAGTTATGTTGCTGTTGTGGGCCGAAGGCTGACGCTCTTCGTTTCATTTTGGGGGATGCCTCGTTAAAAACCTCATTAGGAAAAACCCTTTGGGAAAAAATCTTAATGAGGGAAAAAGAGTGCACCGAATTCCCCCAATGATGAAGCGAAAATGTCAAACCTTGGCAAAAATGGAGAATGGCGGGAATGCCGAAGGCTCTCTCTTCTGAGGGCTCCTGTGTTGATTAGCCGAAGGCTTGCTGTTGATGTCCTGGTGGTGCTGAAGGGGAGCCCCTCAATCCAGGGACCGAGGGCCTGCCAGATGAGGGCAGCAGTGAAGTTGTTACCGGGGGGCCCACTGTTTGTTGATGAGTTGGTGATGAAGATACCCGAGGGCTCCCATTACCTGTGTGCCATGGGCCATCCGTCAATGAGGCACTCCCCGGGGGCTACCCGGTTTTGTAGTGCTGAGGGGGAAGCCCCGAGGTGTGCCCTGATATGCAGCCCTAGGATCTGAAGGGGTGATCCCGAAGGCTTATGTAATGTGCTGTGTGGGGCACAACCCGGGGGCACTTCTGGGTGAGTGCACCCGGAGGCTATCTTTGATGGAGTGGAGTGAAGTACAAAACCCGGGGGCTTCCAAAATATAGTCGTTGGAAATATGGCCGTTGGAATATGTAACGACAGGATATAGCCGTTGGGGGGGGGGGGGGGTGGCACACGTGGCATGTGAAGGCTGGTTGTCCGTGGGCGGCGTCACCGGTTGGGTGAAACGGCGGTGTGTAATGATGGCGTCCATCCGGAGGCCCGGAATCCAGGCCCAAGCCCGGATTCATCGCCTATAAATACCTCAAGGCCAGGCGTTCCTCCGTGTGCGATAAACTTGTTAGCGAAGCTCTGTCAATTTTTCTAGAGAGAGAAAGTTCAGCCTTCGGTCAAAACTCAGCTTCCGAGGTCAGTGCTCCCTGCCTTTCTCCTTCTAACATAGCTGTACTGTGCCCTTAGTTTAGGAGATAGAATTCACTAGGAACCTTAGTTCCCCCGAACCCTCGAGCTAGAGTGTAGAATGTCGTCCCAGAGTGACTCTCAGGACATCTCGAGGACGCCCTCGATGGAGGACGAAGGCATCTCCGACGTGGAGTCCAGCAGCAGTCAGCCCTCGGATGGTGGTGATGTAGCCCTCGCCACTGAGGTGCAGAAGGATCTGACGGCCGAGGCCGAGGCGGAGGAATTCGAGCGGACCGCGGAAGATGAGGAGTTAGTCCTCGCCGTCCAGGTTGCTGAGGAGGAAGAAGAAAAGGAGAGGGCGAAGGTCACTGTGGCCGTCCTTCCCCCTCGGGGTGCTGGTGAGGCCAGTACCTCCCGGCCGTTGAACGCAGTTCCCCTCCGGGTGGCCCCCGGGATGAAGAAGAGAAAGACGAAGGCCGCCCCTCAGAAGAAAACAAAGACCGTCGATCAGGGGGGGCCAGTTGATCTACCGGAGGGTTATTCCTTCCTGGACACCGCCGCTCTGGAGATCAAGTCCCAAGCTGACAGGGCGGACATCTATATCACCCAATTGCATGTAGGGCCCTCAGCCGTGGTAGTCGAGCCAGGTCCCGATGACGTGCTGTCGCGGCCCCCCGAGGGATGTATAGCCGTGCACGTGCTTTCGGTCTCAATGGGCCTCCGGTTCCCTCTCCATCCGTTCCTCCGGGAGTACCTGAGGTACACCGGCCTGGCCCCCTGCCAATTGACTCCCAACAGCCACTCGTACATAACGGGGTTTGTGAACCTGTGCAAACTCCGGAAGGTTACACCGAGCCTGGAGTTATTCTTCCAAAGCTTCAACCTATGCCGGGGGGGACATACAAATGCTGAGGGCTATGCGAACTTACAACAGATAGCCCAGTTCAAGCTGTTCACTGAGGCCCCCTCTTCCAACAAGGGGTGGAGAGAGCGATGGTGCTTCATCAGACTGGCCGACAGCCCGTTCCCGAGGGAGTTGCGGAATTGCTTTCGGCGCCATGTGAAGGCCAAGAGTGCCGCCCTCGAGAAGGATGGCCTGAAGATTGCAAAGATTCCCGAGGGTCGGGAAAAGAACGTAACCATCAAGGAGTGCACCCTCGAGGAGGACCTGTATACCCTCGGATTCCTGATGTATCGGTTCATTGGGGAGACCGATGAGAAATATCCCCTCTACGATAAAGCCTTCGTGGGAGCAGGAGGTAGTGGCCGGGGGCTTTACATTTTCGTACTTAGAGATTTTTTTGTTATGTTTGTTGTCATGTGTTTGACCCCTCGGTTCTAACCTTTCAACTTGTTGCTGTCGTTCTTTGCAGGTAGCAGGATGAATGCCAACGCCTTGTTCGCGAAGAGGAAGGGCAAGACCCAGCAAAAGGAGAAGGGGCCCTCGGGCCAGAAGCCAGTTGACGCGCTTTTCCCGAAGGCCATAGAGCCTTCCGCCGGGAACGCCCATGCTGTTGTGGGGACCGGGGGGTCGAAGGCCGAGGCGGCCGCTAAGAAGAAGAGGAGCGACAAGGGGGTGGAGCCCCCTACCAAGAAGCAGAAAGGCGCCGGGGGTGCTGTCGGGGGGGCGGCCCCCCTCATAGTTATTGATGACATGCCAGCTGCTGGTGAGCCTCTGGCCTCGGTCCCCCCGAAGGATCCGGTAAATCCCCCCCGGGCGGAATCACCCCGGGAGATCCGTCAGCTCTCCTTTGCCCCCGACGCGTAGTTGATGCACGGCACTGCCGAGCCGAAGGCCTTCCTGCGGGGCATCACCTCGAAGATGGACAGGGAAGTCTTCGAGACCTACGATGACGATGCCCTCGAGAACAGGATCCTCCGGTCCTCGCTCACTGTAAGTATCCGCTTCCTTTTTCCTTATCTTGTCAGTTTAGTCTTATTTTTTCCTGAGGAACAATCTAACTCCTTTGATCATTGTTTGCAGGCCTGCATAGCCCTCGGGGAACAGGCCCGGAGGCGTGAGGAAAGGCGTCTCCACGAGGCTGCCCAGGATAAGAAGGTGGAGGGGCTGATCCGTAAGAACTCTGAGGCAGTGAAGCATGCTGCCCAGCTGGAGGAGGCCCTTCGGGAGGCGAAGGCGGCGGCGGAGAAGGCCAAGGCTGATGGAATAGCCAAAGGCAAGGCAGAGGCCGAGAGGGCCGCTGCCGAGGCGGCGAAGAAAGCCGCCGATGAAGCCCAAACTGCTAAGGAGAGAGCTGCGGCCGAGGCCCGAGGGGAGGCAGTTGCGGAGTTCCTTGCTGAGGGCTGGAGGGCCGAGGGCCACAAGGAGTGGGTTGCCTCCGTGGTGGCAGCCTCGGTGGATGCTTGGGTTGAAGTCCCCGGGGTAGACTGGCTGACCGATAGGGGCGACGCCTACTATCAGGGGGGTGAGTTCTTTACCCAGCACCTGATATACCGGAGGCTCGCCAGGCACTTCGGCGTATCCCTCGAACAATTTGACCCCTCGGTATATGGCCTCCCTCCGTTGCAACCAGATGTTAGAGTTCCCCTCCCCCCGGGTGAAGAGCGGCCAACAATCTATGATTCTGTGATGATGGGGGGTGACGGGGTTGGAGCCATCGGGGGTGATGCTGCCGGAGAAGAAGTCTCCTCCAAGGCTGTCGGGGAAGATGCCCCCGGTGACAACGAGGCTGAAGCCGTCGAGAAGATTATCACTTAGTCAAATCTTTTCTTTTTAAAAAAACCTTGTAATGAAATTTTTGTTGCCCCTCGGCCTTGGCCACACTCTGTAATGATCATATTGACTATTTTTGTGTTGTAATTGAATGATTGCCTTCGGGCTTGGTGTATATGATATGCTTCCTTCTGATCTGTTCATTGTTGAATGTATGCCTTCGTCTTTGTTTTGAATGTATGTCTTGTTCCTTTGAATGTATGTCTTAGGACTTAGAATGTCATCTGATTGTAGCTAGCCCTTGGGAGCCTTCGGTAGTTGGGCACCCTCCGCTGGATATGCAACCGGTGGTTCGGCAGCAATTAGGACTTAGAAATTTTTTTCTAAGTGTAGCACAGCATGAGGCCTTCGGGTGTTTGTAGTAACCCACCTCCTAGGACTTAGAAAAATCTCGAAGTGTAGATTCCCCCTTGAGAGCCTTCGGGATATAGCGCCCATTCCTTATGTGTGAATAATGGACCGAGGGCCCAATGCACAGGACTTAGAGATTTTTGCAAGTGTAGTATGCCATGTAGCCTTCGGCTACTGTGGAGCCCCACCTGTAATATTGAGCAGGCCGGGGGCTAATTCTTTAGGACTTAGAAGATTTTCTTGAGTGTTGATTCCTTGTGAACTGTAGCCCTCGATTGATAGGTAGCCTTCAGCAATTAGGTCCCTCGAGATGAGGGCGAAATATGTAGGACTTAGAAAATCTTCTAAGTGCAGGGTTTCCCTTGGGAGCCTTCGGGAGATGGCATCCCTTCATGATGTATGAGTAGTTGACCGGGGGGAAATATGCAGGACTTAGAAAATCTTCTAAGTGTAGAGTTTCCCTTGGGAGCCTTCGGGAGATGGCATCCCTTCATGATGTATGAGTAGTTGACCGGGGGGAAATATGCAGGACTTAGAAAATCTTCTAAGTGCAAAATCTCCCTTGGGAGCCTTCGGGAAATGGAATCCCTCCTTGGTAAGGCTGGGCCTATTAGGAGACCATCAGAATACACCAATGGCTCTCCTCCCTCGGGTTAACCTTCCGAGTGCCGAGGGGATCGAGGGACGTTTCCTGGGCACAAGATATGGTGGTCCGTAACCTGCCTCCCCTTGGGGGATGGCGCGGAAAGCGCCTCATTTTTGAAAGTCATCCCCTCGGCGCTAGACATAGTCTGTGGCCTGCCACACCCTTGGGGTGGTGGCGCGGGGAGCGTTTCGGTTTGGAAGTCGAATCCTGGGCATTCCTCATGCCTGTCATACCCTGGGGGAAATGACGCGGATAGCGTTCCGTTTTTGAAAGTCGAATCCTTGGCATTTCTCATGCCTGTCATACCCTGGGGGTAGTGACGCGGAAAGCGTTTCAAGGAAGGGTTTTCATTTTCACACTAGTTGCAAATGGCCGGGGGCACTACGTGCCGCCGGCACCGATGGTGGCGCCTTCGGTATATGCGTCCTCGTGGGGTACGGCTTTTAGAAACAACACTTGGTGTTAGTTTCGATGTGTAGCCCCCGGTACTTGGTACCGAGGGGTCTTTTGTAGGAACACTTGGTGTTCTCTTGTTGTAGTTGATGTAGGTGTCTACCCTCGGTACTTGGTACCGAAGGGTCTTCAAATGAAACACTTGGTGTTTCCCAATAGATGTTCGGAAGCTGTTAGGAGAGCATATCCCTGACACTTGGTGCCGAGGGGTCTTCTGTGAAACACTTGGTGTTTTTTCTACGTTTCGATATTTGATGAGGGAGGTGTACCCTCGGCACTGGGTGCCGAAGGGTCTTCGGTAGGAACACTTGGTGTTCTCTTGTTGTAGTTGATGTAGGCGTCTACCCTCGGTACTTGGTACCGAAGGGTCTTCAAATGAAACACTTGGTGTTTCCCAATAGATGTTCGGAAGCTGTTAGGAGAGCATATCCCTGGCACTTGGTGCCGAGGGGTCTTCTGTGAAACACTTGGTGTTTTTTCTTCGTTTCGATATTTGATGAGGGAGGTGTACCCTCGGCACTGGGTGCCGAAGGGTCTTCTGTAGGAACACTTGGTGTTCCCATCTTTTCTTTTTTGATGTTGGAGGTGGGGAAGTACCCTCGGCACTGGGTGCCGAGGGGTCTTGACTGAAAACACGTGGTGTTTCTACTGTTTGTTGTATGTGTTGATGGTGTCCGCCCTCGGCACTGGGTACCGGAGGGGGTTCTTCTTGTGGTGAGGCCTGGGGCCTGTAGTCAGTATGAGGGCTTGATGTCTTGAATGTATCTTCATTCTTCGAAATTGGAGGCCTTGGGCCATTGGATAGTACATTCACTAGTTATGAGGGCTTGGCCGCTCTTACATTATTGATAAAATTTAACTAAATGGTGTACATTCCAGTGCCTAGAGACCTCTTTCCCGTTGGGGCGTTTGAGTCTGTAAGTCCCGGGTTTGATGATGACTGCTATGATGTAGGGGCCTTCGAATTTTGGTGCCATTTTTCCTCCCTCGGTTGGTTGGCTGGCTTCTCTCCTCCGGAGGACATAGTCCCCCACTTGAAATTCCCGGGTTCGAACTTTGGCGTCGATGTAGCTTTTAACTTGCCTTCGGTAGTTTTCTGCCCGGATGAAGGCCCGCTCCCGGCGCTCTGAAATGAGGTGCAGGTCGAGGGCCATGTTGCTGTCGTTGACCTCGGGGTCATATTGGATCACCCTTCGGGTAGGAAGGGTGACTTCCGTAGGAGCTTTGGCTTCAAAACCGTAGCAGAGGGAGAAGGGTGTTTCACCTGTAGCGCGCCGAGGGGTAGTGCGGTAGGCCCAGAGGATGTTGTGAAGTTCTTCCACCCAGCCACCACCCTCGGCCTCCAGCTTCTTCTTGAGGCCCTCGAGCAAGGTCCGGTTGGCGTTCTCTACCTGCCCGTTGCCTTGAGGGTAGGCAACGGAGGAGAAGGTGTGTTTGATGCCCCACGCCTCCAGAAGGGCACGGAAGGGGGCTGCCTCAAATTGTGTTCCACTGTCGGAGATGATCTGCTGGGGGACGCCAAACCTTGTGAGGATGTTCTTGAGGACGAAGTGACGGCACTTCGCCTCTGTGATGCTGGCGAGGGGTTCAGCCTCCACCCACTTGGTAAAATAGTCGACGGCCACAATGATGTATCTGTTGTTGGAGGTACCCCTCGGCAGAGGGCCCACAAGGTCTATCCCCCATCGAGAAAATGGGACAGATGTGCTGATGGGGGCATAGTTGACCGCTGGCCTGCCGGGGGCTTTCTGGAAATGTTGACATGCGGTGCACCTCCGGGCAAGGTCAGCACAATCCCTGGCCATGGTTGGCCAGAAGTAGCCCTGGAGAATGAGCCTTCGGGACATGGAGAAGGGTCCTTGGTGAGCTGAGCAAGTGCCACTGTGCACTTCCTCCATTGCGACCTCGGCTTCATCTGGATGAAGGCACCGAAGTAGCGTGCCATTGTAAGATCGTTTGTAGAGCCTTCCATCTTCGATGGTGTAGCTGGGAGCCCTCAGCTTTGCCAGTTTAGCGCGGGCCTCATTCTCGGGTAGCTGCCCTGTGGAGATGAAGATGGTGATATCTGAGATCCAATCCTCCTGACGCTGTTGTATGTTCATAACGGGGCTTGCATGGATGCTTGAGAGGCTGAGTTCCTCGATTTTGGCAATTTTGGAGATGTGCTCGGGGGAGTCGGCCGAGAGCTTAGATAATATGTCGGCCTCGGAGTTCTGAGCCCTCGGTATTTGAGTGAGAGAGTGTGCCTCAAATACCTTAAGCAACTCCTTGGCCGCTTCCTTGTACTGTTTCATTCTTCCCTCCTTGGCCTCATATTCTTCGGAGATTTGGCCAACGACCAACTTGGAGTCGCATTTGATGTGGATCTGCCGAGCCCTCATGTTGGCAGCCAGCCGAAGGCCACATAGGAGGGCCTCATATTCGGCCTCATTGTTGGAGACCTTGAAGGAGAAGCGGATTGCATAGTAAGCCCTGAAGCCCTCGGGAGTAATGAGGACTACCCCTCCCCCGCATGCTTTGGTCGCGGAGGAGCCGTCAGTGTAGAGGGTCCACCAGTCGTCCGAGGTTGCCGAGGGCTCCCCGTCCGTGGCTGCCCTTGCGGTACATTCCGTCACAAAGTCCGCTAGGGCTTGGCCCTTGATGGCAGGCCTTGGACGGATGTCAATGTTGTACTGGCTCAAGAAGATAGCCCATTTAACCATGCGGGAGGAGCTGGTGGGGCTCCTCATGAGGGCGCCGAGGGGTTGATGAGTGAGGACCTGAACTGGGTGAGCCTGAAAGTAGTGGCCCAACTTCTTGACAGTCCAAACGATGGCCAACACCTTTTTTTCCACAGGGGAGTACCTGAGCTCGGCCTCCCTTAGGGTCTTGCTAACGTAGAAGATGGCATGTTGGATGCCGTCTTCCTCCCGGATGAGCACAGAGCTGATGGCTACCGGGCTAACCCCAAGGTAGAGGTAGAGGGTCTCCCCTACCTTGGGTTTGGAGAGCACAGGGGGTGAAGATAGCTATCTCTTTAGCTCGTCGAAAGCCCCCTGGCATTCTGGAGTCCATAGAAAGCCAGCCGTCTTCCTCATGATCTGGAAGAAGGGTAGAGACTTCTCTGCCGATTTAGATAGGAAGCGGTTGAGGGCTGCCAGGCGGCCCGTCAACCGTTGAACTTCCTTCACGTTACGTGGGGGCTCCATGTTGATGATGGCCTGGATCTTCTCGGGATTGGCCTCAATACCCCTTCGGCTCACCATGTAGCCTAAGAATTTGCCCCCTTGGACGCCGAAGGTGCACTTCTTCGGGTTTAGCCGAAGGTTGAATTTTTGCATGATGGCAAAAATTTCCCGGAGGTCGTCAGCATGACTGGAAGATTGCTTGCTCTTGACGATCATGTCGTCGACATAGGCCTCCATGGTGCGCCCTAGGACGGCTTGAAAGACCCGGGCCACCATCCGGGTGTAAGTGGCCCCTGAGTTCTTTAGGCCGAAGGCCATCACTAGGTAGCAGAAGATGCCCTCGGGAGTCATGAAGGCAGTTTTTTCGGCGTCCTCCTCGTGCATGAATATTTGGTGGTACCCTCGGAAGGCATCGAGGAAGGACATGATTTCACACCCCGCGGTCTCATCCACCAATTGATCAATGTTTGGTAGCGGGAATGGATCCATGGGGCATGCTTTGTTGAGATCAGTGTAGTCC